TGCTCAGGGGACTAAAGGTGGCCGTGTGAAAAGTTGAATCAGTGATCAGAGATGTCCAGAGCTGAGGCCCTAGGAGAGGGGGGTTGAGGTGGGGTGAAGGGCCAGCTCAGGAGTAGAGGATCCACAGCACTCGTGGGTTGGGGGGTGTGGGCTTTGCAGATGAGGGTGAGGAGGAGAAAGCCATGGGAGGAGACGGGGGTTCCGGTGGAGGGATTTGGGGTGACAGTTTGAAGGGCAGTGCTTGGACACTCAAATTTACTGGAGCATCTGAGAACCCCCCAAGACCCTCAGTCTCCCCCTTCCCAAGACTGTGATTCTATGGGTCTAGGCTGGAGGCCTGGCGTCTGTATTTGTGATTCGGGGACTTCACTGGGATTTTTGCCTCCTTCCTTCTGCCCCCTGAATCTGGTTGAGCCTGACACGGGGCATAAGCCCAAGCCGAGGGGGTGGACGGGCTGGTAACAAGGGAGCCTCGGGGAGGGCAGTCACCGAAGCCAGGTGGCCGAGCTGCTGTGACAAACATGAACCCCAGCCCCAGGCTGAGATCTGACCCCGCACCTCCCCAGCATGGCCCTGGGCCAGTCACCTCCGAGTGTCTCTCCCTGAGCCTTGGCCTGCCATTTGTAAAATGAGCACCAGATGACCTGGGCAGGTTGGGATCAAATAAGCCAGGGCACGTGAGAGCCGGATGGCCGGGGAGTGAGAGGCAAGAGCAGGGCACGGGGTCGAGGCCTGGCCGGCCGGTCACCAACAGCACTGAGCTGGGCACGGAGGAGGGCGGGCGGGTGGCAGGGGACAGAAGGGGCTCCCAGGGGAGGAACTGAGGGATAATGGAAGAGGTCAGGGGCAGGTCAGGGGCAGGAGGCAGACCAAGTAAGGAGCTGTTTGGCTTTGATAGAACTCAGGCCTAAAGCTTGGCTGGTGGGGGTGGGGGGGCCATCTTAGGAGTCTGGGGCCAGCAGGAGCCCCCACCCCAGGTGCCTGGGGTACAGAGTTCCTGGCGACTGAGGTGGGCTTGCCTTAACTTTCACTTCCTGCAGACAGGGGTTGTCCTCATGTAGGCCCTGCCCAGCTCTCTGATTTCCCTCCCCTTCCTCCAGCACTTTTGGTGGCTCCCTAGTCCTCCCTGGGCTGCCTCCTTTCAGGCCCAGCCCCCAGCCCCAGCAGCTGCCCTTGCCCTTATCTGGCCTGGGCCCTGGGTCCTGCTGGGGAAGGGGCAGCCCAGCCCAGGGTAGGCCTGAGCAGGTGGGGAAGAATGAGGCTGCAGGAGGTAGTGGGGACAGAAAGGACCTAGTGTCTGCTCTTCCACCAGTCTGGGCTTTCCCCAGAGTGGGGGTCAGCTTGGTCTGCACAGAGATGGGGGAGGCCAGATGGGTGAGCTTGCTGACTTCCTGAGTGGTGGACATTCTGCTAGCACCAGGGCCGACGCTGCCAGAATTCTCCTGGCCCAAGACGACCCCCACCACACAAAGCCAACTTCACAGCCTTGCATCTATCTGGGCTCATCGTACCATTTTCAGTGGGAGAATCTGAGGCTCAGGGAGGCTGCTGGCTCATCCCTGAAGCTGCACAGCCTGAGGGAGCGGGCTTGGGCCAAGGGGCCTGGAAGGGCTGCTCCTCTGGGGGGCCCGTAGGGGCAGAGATAGGGGCTTATCAGTGGGGGTGGGGGGCAGAAAGAACAAGTGGATACAGACCTGAGGACAGGGGAGGGCAGAGGTAGTTCGGGCAGGGATGGATGGGGAAGGCAGAGATAGACCAAAACCAGGAGAGGAGAGGGAGGGCAGGGATAGTCTAAGCCAAGGGCGTGGGGTGGGAGGGGTACAGGTAGTCCAGGCCCAGGGGCAGGGAGAAAGCAGAGATGATCCAGGCCAGGGCAGGAAGAGGAAAGCAGTGACTCCTTGTCCTTGACGTTCTATTTCAAGTCTGATTGACGTTCTAGGGGCTTGGGATAGAGCTTGAGCTCAGTCAGCCTGGGATAGGGTGAGTCAGTGTCCTTGGAGCTCAGAGGGCTGCCTACCTGGGCGCTGGCCCTTCACCCCACCTCAACCCCCCTCTCCTGGGGCCTCTCATGGGCCCTTTCTATCTTACTTCACCTTTGGGGTGAGAAGGCCTTGGAAGCTGATTCTGTAGGCTTGAATCCCAGCTGCACCACTTCTTAGCTGTGTGACTTTGAGCAACTTAGTTAGCCTCTCTGTCCTTCAGGCTCCCCATCTGTCAGAGGAGGGTAGCCGTGGCTTCTACCCCACTGGCTCGTTGTGAAGATCAAATATGATAATGCTTGTATTTAGAACAGTGCCTGGCACATAATAAGCACTCAGTAAAAATGAGAAGTCTAGGTGGTTGATAAGAAAGCCGACTAGCACCAGGCTATGAGATTTCGTGACCTTGGGGCTCCCTTCTACCCTGCAGCCCAGGAGAAAAGCCTCACACCTGCATGGCCCAGTGGTGGGACCCTCACCTGGGGGTCTGGGTTTCAGTCTTCTTAAATGGATAGGGGTGTGAAAAAAGCTCTAGTCCCTCTCAGGCCCTTGCTTTGCTTCCGGGTCTTTTGTGACACCTGACGCTTGGAGTGGGGACGTGAGAGTCCCCCTCAGCCCCTTAGCACAGACTCTCCTGCCCCTTCTCTTGAGGTCACTGTTCCTCCAGGCACACTAGCTTCAGGTCTGGAGTCCCCACTCCCCGCAGAAGCTGGGCGCCCAGAGCGGGTAGGGCAGCCATCTTGCTCAGGCCTGGTACGTCGCCATGACAACCTGGAGCGTCCCAGCCCCACTGCAAAGGCCCCTCTGAAAAATTTATCAGGAAAACTTCCGTGTTTAAAAATTAACCATGGGATTGAAATATTAAAGATGAGCTGCTTTGGGCAAGGCAGAGGGCAATGGACTTGGGGGTGGAGGAGCCAAGTTCCCTCCTCCTGACAGGATGGCATCTGCCCATCACCCCAGCTTCCAGTTCTAACCCACGCTACACTGTCTGTAGAGTCTGAGACTCCTCCATCAATTGAGGCTGGGGCCAGGATGCAGGAAGGGAGGGGCCTGGTTTGCAGGGCCCGGGGGTCACACTGCTCCCCCATCTCCAGTTTGCCCCTTTCCCATGGTACTTCTGCGGGGCTCTCTTTAGTCCACTTGAGGGCGGGGCTGGCCCTGCCAACAGCAGGGAGGGCCTGGCATGAAGCAGTGGGCAGGCTGAACTGCCTTCCATCCCTGCTGCTCAGGTAGCCTGGCCCTAGGGGGCGCCTACACCAGAGAGGGTGGGCTGGCACGTGCCCCCTATGCTGCTCACCGAGCCCTGGCCCAGAGGGTGGGCTGTGTGCCGGGGTGCATACTCCTGCCCCTGTCCCCAGGAAGGGAACAGGGCCTTGGAGGAAGATGAGCTCTTTCCCCCCAAATCAATGGTCCCCTTGGCTGCTGGGCTGCGCCATCCCCTCCCCAGCGCTACTCCTTGTTCTGAGGTTCCCCAGATTGATTCCCCTCCGCCCTCCCCCCACCCCCAGCCTGTCCACCTGGCCCAAGTGAGTTTCGTCATCCCAGCCTTCAACTCAAACTTCACTCTGGACCTGGAGCTGAACCAGTGAGTGTGGCCTTGAGCCTGGAAGGAAGGGCAGCAGGCGGGTGGGCAAGGCATGGTCTTGACTTGGCTGGGTGGGGAGCCGGGGGCAGGGCTGGGGCAGGGGACCTGGATCTGAGCTGCGGTGGGACCCAAGTCTGATCCAGCCCCAGCAGCGACCCCCCCTCCTTCCTCCTGGCCCCCTCTGTCTGTTTCAGTCACCTCCTCTCCTCGCAATATGTGGAGCGCCATTTTAGCCGGGAGGGGACAACCCAGCACAACACCGTGAGTGCCTTCGGAAGGGGACAGGGGAGATGGAATGAAGGGACAGGTGGTCAGTGGAGATGGGGTCCAAGGTATCTTCTATACTTGGGTGGGCCCAGCCCCTTGGGGCCCTCCATCTCTCCCCACCATGGAGGGTCCAAGGGTCGGAGTCAGTGTGGCGTATTGAATGGCGTGGAGCCTGAGCTCCCTTCACGCAGCTCCCAAGGTCTGACTCCCAGCCGGCCTCTCTGCCTGACATGGAGGCCTTCAAGGACCCTCCCTGCCCCCTGCCCAGACTTTTCTAGGAGGTGGCCGTTGGGGAAATGCCCTTCTTACTCAACACCAAGGCCTTGGAAATTCCTGGCTGCCCGGGACACCAGGGTCCCAGCCCCAGAGGCCCAGGGGCTTGAGCAGAGATGAATGAGTGTCTATAAATAGCCTCCTCCCCGTCCCCCCACCCCCAACCAGCCAGTTCAGGAACTGGAGCACAAGTAATTCTGCAGGAGCAGGGAGGGGGGTGCTTGTCCCCTCTGACCCGAGAGCCCAGGCCAAGAGGACACACGCTGCTCACAGTTCCTCAGCCGCAGACCGTGTCCGCCGAGGCGGTGGTCTCTGTGAATCCACTGTGGGTGCACGTGTGTGTGTGCTGGGGCTGAGTCCACAGCTTCCATCTGATTAAGTGAGCCCCTCAGTGGTGAGTGCTTAGAGCCGTGCCTGGCCCGAGTGCTAGCTCTCCTCAGAGGAGTCTATGAACCATGCACCTGCCCCTCCCAAGTGGCTAAGAACCACTGAGGTAGGGCTCCTGGGTGGCTCAGCTGGTTGAGCGACTGCCTTCGGCTCAGGTCGTGATCCTGGAGTCCCGGGATCGAGTCCCGCGTCGGGCTCCCTGCTCAGCGGGGAGTCTGCTTCTCCCTCTGACCCTCCCCCGTCTCATGTGCTCTCTTTCTCATTCTCTCTCTCTCAAATAAATAAATAAAATCTTTAAAAAAAAAAAAAAGAACCACTGAGGTAGCCCAACTTCCTCATCTTGTAGGTGAGGTGATGGGGGCCCAGGGAGGACTAGGCACCCGCCCAGGTGAAAGAGCAAATTAGGAGCACATCCAGAGTAGGACCAGGCTCCAGATCCCCAGGTGTACCCAGGGCCCATGGCCAGCTGCACACCCAGCAGCCGCGGGGCCCCTCCTCGCTCCTCCTGCCTTCACACCGGGGCCGGGGGCATGTCTGCTCATGTTCTGCTCCTCCTCCAGGGGGCCGGGGACCACTGCTACTACCAGGGGAAGCTCCGGGGGAACCCCCAATCCTTTGCTGCCCTGTCCACCTGCCAGGGGCTGCAGTGAGTACGGGCAGGGGCGGGAGAAGGGGGAAGAGCCTTCGTCCCTGGCCTGGGGATGCAGGTGGGGACCTGCACCTCTGTCTCTGCAGTGGGGTCTTCTCTGATGGGAACTTCACCTACATCGTGGAGCCCCGTGAGATGGCCAGGCCTCAGGAACCCCCCCAGGTGAGCCCCTCACGGTTCCCTCTGACAGCCCTGGTGCGCACGCACACCCTCGTGGCTTGTCCCAATGGCTGTCGCTGCCTCCTCCCTTGGTGACCTCAGCCTTACTGCCCTCCTCAGTCACCCCAGCTCTGGTTCCCTCCCCCTGTGCCCTCAGCTCCAATGTCCCCTCTGTCCCCCAAGTAACCTCCCATCGGGCTCCAGTGTCCTTTGCCCCTATCTCTCAGGGCGCCCCCAGGTCTTGACCCCGGAATCTGAGCATCTGGGAGATCAGATCCGACATGGGAGCTCTGGCCAGTTCTGGGTCACCCTGGGGTGGGGTGGGGGTGAGGGCTGGAGCTGTCCCCCATCTGGGCTCAAGAGCAGACCTGGTCACCCCCCCCGCCAAAAACTAATTCCCCCTCATTTCAGGGACCCCTTCCCCACCTCATTTACCGGACCCCTCTCCTCCCAGTCCCCCTCGGATGCAGGGAACCAGGTAAGGGAGGGAAAGTGGGGCTGGGGAGGGGGCCAGCTGTGCTCCCCTCACCTGGCCCCTCCCCCCAGGCTGCCTATTTGCTGCCCCTGCTCATTCTGCCCCTGTGAACCGGCCGAGGCTGAGAAGGAAAAGGCAGGTACGGGGGCCCGCACAGACCTCGGGCTGCAGAGACCTCGGGCTGTGGTCCATCCATGACGGGGGCAAAGGAGGGCTCAGACTGATGTGGCTGGGGGCCAGGGCACCACGCTTGAGAGGAAGCCCCCCACCCCATTTCCTAACACCCGTGTCTGCACCTGCCCGAATTATGGACAAACTGAGGCTGACTGCCCTCTTACCAAGGCTGGGGAGGGAGGGGACCCCCACCAGTGGGGGGACCAGCATTATCCCTGACTGGAGTTCAGCACCCCCGAGTCTGCCCATGGCTTGGCCCCGACGCCGGGCCTGGAGGGGACTGATCCCAAGTGCCCACCCACCGCCCAGGTCCGCCGGGGCCACCCTACCGTGCACAGTGAAACCAAGTACGTGGAGCTGATCGTGGTCAACGACCACCAGCTGGTAAGTTCCCAGCCTGGGGGCAATTCGGAGGGGGCGCCCAAAGCAGCCTGGCCCTCTCCCACTCTCTTTCCTGCCAGTTCGAGCAGATGCGCCAGTCGGTGGTCCTCACCAGCAACTTTGCCAAGTCCGTTGTGAACCTGGCAGATGTGGTGAGCCACCCCCCTTCCCTTCCCTCTCCTCCCTCACCACTGGCCTGCTGCACACATGCTTGGGGTGAGCTCGGCAGGGCCCTATCAGCCTCTGATCCCCACTTCCTGAAGAGACAAACTGAGGCCCTCCTCCAGCCCTGTGCCCCCACCCTCTCCTACCCTCCAGCCCCACCCTCATCTTCTTCCCTCCGGGCCCAGATGTACAAGGAGCAGCTCAATACCCGCATCGTGCTGGTTGCCATGGAAACGTGGGCAGATGGGGACAAGATCCAGGTGCAGGATGACCTCCTGGAGACCCTGGCCCGGCTCATGGTCTATCGGCGGGAGGGCCTGCCTGAGCCCAGTGATGCCACCCATCTCTTCTCGTGAGTCCCCGCCCCACATGTCCTGTCAGGCTCAGCTGCTTGCTGCCGAGTGGGGTTGCTGGACGCTTGCTCAGCGCCAGGGGCTCCTGCGGGGTCTGGGACCTGGGCTCACCTTGCACCAGCCCCCCAGCCATTTGCCATAGGCTGGGCATCTTCCCTGTATCTTAGGCTGATGCCTCCTTTTCCGGTCCCCACTGATCTTCCTCTGCCTATCAGCTCCCCTTTTGTCCCCTCTTCTCCTCTCAAACTGTCCCAGCATCCTTTCCTCAGGAACTCAGTGCTCGGATAGAAAGAAAAAAATCTGCAGTTAGAGATGATCTCATAGGAGCCTGTCATGTGGCTCATGGGCTAACAAACCCAAAGAGAAGAAGGGGTTTGCCGAGGTCACAGAGGCTGACATGAGGACGGGCTCCCCTCCCTGAGGGAGGGCTCTAGTGTGCGAGTCTCCCCAGTCTGCCCCTGACAGCCTAGGGAAGCCACCGTGGGCAAGGCAGGGGTTTCTCCTGATAACCCTCTCCCTTCCAGGGGCAGGACTTTCCAGAGCACCAGTAGCGGGGCTGCCTACGTGGGGGGCATCTGCTCCCTGTCCAGGGGTGGAGGTGTGAACGAGGTGAGCTGTGTGGGGCATGGCTGGGATGGCGGTGGGGGTTAAAGGGAGAGGGGCTGTGAAGGGCACGAGGGATGTAGACATTTGTGTGCTCCGTCTTCCTCACCCCAAGTATGACAACATGGGCGCCATGGCAGTGACCCTGGCCCAGACGCTGGGGCAGAACCTGGGCATGATGTGGAATAAACACCGGAGCTCCGCAGGTATCAAAGAAGACCCCATGTCGCCCCACAACCAGCCCAGACCCACTCCCAGCAGCTCTAGAAGTGAAGGGGGTGACTGTGGGAGGGGGGCAGTCCTCCACCCTCCCTTATATCCACCCGCTTACCTCTCAGGGGACTGCAAATGTCCAGACAACTGGCTGGGCTGCATCATGGAAGACACTGGGTGAGTTCTTGGGGACAAGCTAGGGGAGGGTCTTGGGCGAGGGAGAACCATAGGGAGCACTGAGCGGCAGTGCTCAAGAGGCCCAGCTATTGGGCCCACTTAGGATTTCAAAAAGCCCAGTTTTCTGAGGACACTGCCCAAGGAGACCCACATTCCCTAGCCGGCCACAAACTGGCAGCCTGTACTGCGCGCTGTGGCCACTGGGAGCCGCCAAAGCCTCGTGTGGAGGCACCTTCCCCTCTTAGCTCTCCAACCTCCAGCTCTGAGCCGTCCTGAGGTTTCGGGAAGGGGACAGGAGCAACGTCCGCTGCCCACTTCCGCTTGATGGGCAGGCAGGAGGATGACCGTGCCCTCTCCTGGCACGTAGATCCTCAGCCTCCTCGAGATGGTCACCGAGTCCCCCCGTGCACCCCATCCCCAGTCTTGAGAAGGGGCGAGAGTGGGCTGGAGGGGAGGCGCGGCGGGGACTCAGCGGCTCCGTCCCCTGCCCGCTGCCCAGGTTCTACCTGCCCCGCAAGTTCTCGCGCTGCAGTATCGACGAGTACAACCAGTTTCTGCAGGAGGGAGGCGGGAGCTGTCTCTTCAACAAGCCCCTCAAGGTAGCAGCCCCAGGGCGGGGATGTGGGGGCGAGGCTTGGGCAAGGTCCCGGCCAGACTCCCGACACCCCTTCCCCGTCCAGCTCCTGGACCCGCCTGAGTGTGGGAACGGCTTCGTGGAGGCAGGGGAGGAGTGCGACTGTGGCTCGGTGCAGGTGAGAGACTGGTGCGGCGCCAGGTGCGGGACGGGGGCGCGCCAGAGAAGGTGTGGGTGGGGAAGGTCAGGGCTTACCCACCTCCCTCCCCTTGTCCCTGCGTCCCTCAGGAGTGCAGCCGTGCGGGCGGGAACTGCTGCAAGAAATGCACCCTGACTCACGACGCCATGTGCAGCGACGGACTCTGCTGTCGCCGCTGCAAGGTGAGGGGCACCTACCGCCGGGGCGGGATGGAGGCGGCACCAGGAGGGACCAGGCTGCGAACAGGACAGCCGGATAAGGGACCGGACTCGGGGAGGAGGAGCCGCTGGAGGCGGGGCAAATGTAGGGGCGGGACTTGAGGCGAAGAAAGCGCCAATGGAGAGGGAGAAGGGCGGGCGTGCGCCCCCAAGGGCCTGTTGAAGGCGGGGCTACGAGGAGCGGGGCGGGGCACCTACCCAGAGGCGGTGAGAGGGGCGGAACGTGAGCCGGCTTGGGGGCGGTGCTGACTGGGCTGGGAGCGGCCGGGGGGCGGGGCGAGGAGGGGCCGAGGGCCCAGGCCGGGGGGCGGGGCCTCGGGGAAGGCGGGCGCGGAGTCCGGGTTCTGGGCTGAGCAGCGAAACGCCTCCTTTCCCAGTACGAGCCGCGGGGTGTGTCCTGTCGAGAGGCCGTGAACGAGTGCGACATCGCGGAGACCTGCACCGGGGACTCGAGCCAGGTCCGTCCAGTCCAGCCGCCCCGAGGGCCCCAATGGGAGGCAACTCCTATTCTTATAGGTTTGGCTCCGCGGGGCTGTTGTTATCTGCGCCCCTCCGCTCCGCTGCTGGCGTCGCCGCCGCTGGTCAGCCTCGTTTTCCTCGCCTGTGAAACGGGTTCTTCATGCCTCCTGGTTTTGCTCCTTCCGTCATTAAATCAGTATAGTCTGGCAGGGGTTCCAAGGGCCTGGCGCGGGGTTGGTGTGTGTTCAGGATGAGAGTGTATAATAGTATTAGTTAACATCTCTTAAGTCCTCATTACGTGCCAGGTATTTAGTTCCATTAAGCTCTCCGAGCCCTGTGAAGTAGTTACAGGAAACAGGGAGATTGGAGAGGCTATGGGACTTGCCAATTTGTGTGGTCTGAGTTCTGAGCGAGACCTCTTGTTCCTGACTTGGAAGAGCCCTGTACTACTGTAAGCCCCTTGAGGGGGCATTTGACACCCCTTCATTCTTCAACTCTCAGTCCTGGGGCTGCTCTGCTCAGCCCAGCCCCTCTGTCCACAGTGTCCCCCTAACCTGCACAAGCTGGATGGTTACTACTGCGATCAGGAACAGGTAATGCTGGGTTGGGGTGGGGGATGGGAGGTGGGGGGTGGGGCCGTCCCCCTCGGGGCCTCTGGCTCACTACGGTCTTTTGTTTTATATCCATTCCGACCACTCAGTGTCTCAGTCCTTGTCTCCTGTTTGCTCCTTAGGGCCGCTGCTACGGAGGTCGCTGCAAAACCCGGGACCGGCAGTGCCAGGCCCTCTGGGGCCATGGTGAGTCTTTGGCTAGGAATGGGAGAGGGGACTCCCAAGGACCCAGAATCAAGCGGCTGGGGAGGGGTAAGTTCTGGCTAAATATGCCCTCTACCGAGTGTGTGGCTCTCCAGGATCTCAGTGAACCCAGCTGGGTTGGGGGTCAGGCCAGAGTGTTGGAGGTGCAGGCCTGAGGTCCTGGGGCGGGTTCTGGGGTGAGTGGGTGACGCCTGGCGTCATCTCCTTACAGCGGCTGCTGATCGCTTCTGCTATGAGAAGCTGAACGTGGAAGGGACAGAGCGCGGGAACTGTGGGCGCAAGGGGTCAGGCTGGGTCCAGTGCAATAAACAGTGAGTTGCCAAGGCTCCTGGTTGGCCTCCCCAGCTCTGGGACCCAGGAGGGTTTTTTTTCAGAGTTGGGACAGCAGGTTCCTGGATGAGCCTATGAGTCCCAGCGGAGAATATGTGAAAAATCAGGTGGTGGGGAGAGGGCAGATTCAAGTTCAGTAGTAGTAGTAGCAGTTGGGTTGGAGGTCAGACCTGGGGCTCACTGTCTCCATGCTGCCCCAACAGGGATGTGCTCTGTGGCTTCCTCCTCTGCGTCAACATCTCTGGAGCTCCTCGTCTGGGGGACCTAGGGGGAGACATCAACAGTGTTACCTTCTACCACCAGGGCAAGGAGCTGGACTGCAGGTACGGGCTGAGACCTTGTCTGGGGAAGGGCGGGTTGCAGCCGTGATGGGGGTGGGTGGCAAGGGCTGAGGCTGGCTTCGCCGGTTCCCCAGGGGTGGCCACGTACAACTGGCTGATGGCTCCGACCTGAGTTACGTGGAGGATGGCACAGCCTGCGGGCCCAACATGCTGTGTCTGGATCATCGGTGCCTACCAGCCTCTACCTTCAACTTCAGCACCTGCCCTGGCAGCGGGGCGCGCCGGATCTGCTCCCACCATGGGGTGGGTGCCTGGAGGCCAGGGATGCCGGGAGGGGCTCCCAGAGGGAACAGGGCCCCCGCTCACCTCTACTGGCCCCACCCCACCTCTAGGTCTGCAGCAACGAAGGCAAGTGCATCTGTCAGCCAGACTGGACAGGCAAAGACTGCAGCATTCACAACCCCCTGCCCACGTCTCCCCCCACGGGGGAGACGGAGAGATACAAGGGTGAGGCTGGAGCTGGCTGGGGTGGGTCTCTGTCTCTCCCCTTCTCCATGCCTGTCCCCGCCAACCGAGCCCTGCCCTCCTCCCCAGGTCCCAGCGGCACCAACATCATCATCGGCTCCATCGCGGGGGCTGTCCTGCTCGCAGCCATCGTCCTGGGAGGCACGGGCTGGGGATTTAAGTAAGAGACACACACACGCCCCCCCCATCCCTTGGCGTTCTTGGGGGGTGTCAGAACCCCAGACCGTTGAAGCTGAGGGGCCTCCCTGTGAAGTTAGCTAAGCTCACACATCACAGTCGGAGTCAGTCAGCCACACGGTCTTGCTTTGCTCACATTTCCAAGAGATTAAAAAAACAAAAACAAAAACAGACGAACCAAAAACACAAAAAATTTTACATTAACAATCCTGATTCCCAGCTTTTCTTGCAAAAGGAGAAGACTGGGCCTCAGTGCCTCCCAGCATGGCCGTGGAGTGGAGCCCAGCAGGGGCTGCTGGAAACCGGCCATGTCCTCCGTCCCTAGGCCCCACGTAGCCCACGGTGTCCTGTGGGCATCTGGGCCTGGGGCCCTCGAGCTGGTCTAACGCCTGCACCGTGCAGGGGAGGGACCTGAGGCCCAGGGTCACTTGATGAGTTAGTTGCTGAGACAGGACTCAAACCCAGGCATCTCTTCCTAGGCCCATCATTAGTGACCCGGTCCTGGGGATCCTGGCCCATGCCAGGGGTCTCATGGGAGCCAGGAAGGCCCTCCCTGAGAGAAGGGCAAGGTCACCGATGGCTCCTTTTCCTTTCTCTCCCTGCCTGCTCTCTCCTTGGCTCTTGAAGAAACATCCGCCGGGGAAGGTACGACCCGACCCAGCAGGGGGCAGTGTGATGCCGGCCACGTCATCCCTCCCACTGTCCCTGTCTCCTCCATCTCATTCGTCACCTCACATTCTGTTGATGGGGAGCTGGGGGCTGATTCCCCCACCCCTGCTGTCACTGCTGTCGCTACAGGGGTGGGAGAGCCCCGCTCCGGGAAGGAAGTCCTCAGCCTGCCCTTGTCCCTTCCTCCCGCCCACCTGCCCCCCCAGGCGTTGGTCCATTTCCTCCTGCCCTTCCTATGGCCAGACCACCCCTGGCCAGATGGGTCCTGGAGCTGTGTCCCCTGCAGCCCCCTTCTCCCGGGAGGGGAGCCTACCTCTGCGTCCCATCTGTTTTGTCTTCCATGTCACCGCTGTCTGAACTTCCCACCAGATCCCCTCCCTGGCCAGCCTGTAACTTGCCGCCTCTAGGGCCCAGCACTGACCTCCCAGGGCCCGGCTCAGGGGCTCTCCCTCTGGGCCCTGCCTCACCTCCTCCCCTGACGCCCCCTCTCCGTTCCAGGTCCGGAGGGGCCTAAGTGCCACCCCCCTCCCTCCGAGCCTGGCGTCCACCGTCTCTCCGCCCTGAACCACAAGGCTGCCCCTGCCCAGCCACGGAGGGAGGCACCATGCAAATGTCTTCCGGGCCCAAGCCCTTCAACTCCTGGCCCCACGGGTGGGAGGGGAGGGCTTGGCAGTGGGGTGGGGGGCTGTGGCCCTGCCCTTCACTCCACCAGGGTGGACCAGGCCTGGGGCATTCCCCTCATGGTCCCCCACCGCCCCCCATGCGGCTTTGGCCTCGCACACCAACTCTCCCTGTGTGAATGTAGCTTCCATCATCACGGATTGCCACAGCTCAAGGGTGGGGGGGTGAGAGGGATGCCCCCCAGTGGGCAGGGCCTGGGATGGCCCCTCCTCAAAACCAGGCAGCTGGGACCAGGGTTTTAACTCTCTGGGACTTCGGGGGAGGGGGCTGACATCTACTTTTTTTTTTTTTTTTTTGTACTGAATCTTAACTATGAATGTAACTTTGGGGGTGCTGGGGCGAGGGAAGTTATGGGGATATTTTGACATTTGTGGGAGGAACCAGAGGAACCAAGGCATGGCCATCCCCTGGGGCCCTCCCCTGGGACGATCACATCCCAAGTCCTCTCGTTGAACAGAGCCCTCCCCAAGCCAGGCAGGGGCAGGGTGGACTTGCGTGCCCCTCGGCCCGGCCCTGCTGAACTTGGAGAGAAGAATGAGTGCTGATTCAAACCAAAGCTGCCTGTTCTGTGCCCAAGGCCTAGGTTATGGGTACAACGACCACACATCCCAGATTGTCTTCAATTTCAAAATGACCACCCTGTTGTCCCTGCCAGGACACGTGTATTTGGGGGTCTAGAAAATCCAGTCCCTGAAATAAAATGGCACCTTCCCCCCCTTTCAAGAAGGATGATTCTGGGGCTGACTCAGGGCTTAGGTGCCCCCCCAGCATAGCCTAGGGGGTCCCAGGCTGGGCCATCTTCCCAGGGAGGACTCTCCCAAGCAGGAAAGGCCAGGGGTGGCCCAGTGACTGGAGGGTTAGGGGTTTTGCCTGTGATGTACAAGAGGAGGTAAGAAAAAAGGCAGGTCTCAGATATGATCCTCAGCTTCTAAAAAAGTCCTCAAGGCCCTGTCAAACCCACTCTGCTCCTTACCCCCATTCCAGGGCTGAGTAGTAAGTTTACAGTTGTTCTCCCATTCCATCCTCTGATCCCCACTGCAGCTGAGCCTGACAGAGGGGCTGAGGCCAAGCGGGGTGCCTCAGTCCTGCCCCTGGCCTTCCCTCATGACCCATGGGACAGTGGAGCCTTGGCTCGACTGCTACAAACCAGCCGGCAAGGGCAAGATGAGGGTCAAGCTCCCTTATGGAAGAAAGCCACAAAGGAGCAGAGCCCCTCTCCCCAGGAATACCCCACCCAGACTCAGCAGGGGTTTCTGGACACCCCCAGGGCCTTTGAACGGCCTGTTTCATTCAGTCCCTCTGTTTCTGGGGGCATCTTTGAGGAGGAAATGGCTCCCTGTTTATCTGCACCACCCCTCAGGGCAAACTGGGGACTGAGACCCACTGACACCCTTTTGGGTGGCCGGATGCGGCTACAGTGGGGTCCTCAATACCGCGCTCCAGCTGGCACTGCCCAAGGGAAGGGGGTGGGTGGGGCGCCCCCTGGCCAGTCCTGCTCCGCCAGCGCCACACGCTGGAGGGGGGGCAGGAGGGAAAGGGCTGGGCCTGGCGCTGCCGCCGCGGTTCTTTAAGGCCTTCTTCGCCAATCCACGTGCACACAGCTGGGTGATGCATCTGGCACAAACGTTTGGATCCCCATCTCCGCACAAGTGTGAATACCTCTGCACATGCGGACAGGCTGCGTGTGCGCGAGCGTGGGGGTGGGCGTGAGGATGTGGAGGACTCCAGACTTCCTGTGACCAGTCCACCTGGCTCCCAGCTGTCTGCATCCTCCCCCCCCGCCCCCCCCCCCCCCAGCAGCGCCCACCCTGGAAGTGCCCAGGGAGGAGTGTAGGCTGCACTGGGCCGGGTCTGGAAATGGCTCCATACAGCATCCTGTACATATGTCATCTGGGGCTCGGGGCGGGGAGGCAGGGACAAGAACATCAATTAAAGATCATGTCCTGGGGCTTCCATGGAGCTCACACCAACCTGCTTCTCTCCTTTCTGTAAATGACCGCGCCGTGACTAGGGACCCTTCCCTGTCCTCCCCTTGCCTGGAGGGAACATGATGACTGTGGCACTGGAGGTGGGAAGTGAGCACCCAGGACTGGGCGCTGGGAGACTGGGACTAAGGGGTGTACTTTTCCGTTCCTGGCCAGGAAATACGCGCTCATGGGTGGAGGGCCAGCCCTTCCGCTCCCTCGGCTCTCCCAGCAAAGATAAGCGCCTTCCTTTGGCTTTGGCAAAGCAGAAGGGGAGGTGAATAGAAAGCATCCTACTCAAAGGCGGGAGACCCAACTTCCCTTTTATGGTTACAGCCCGGAGAAGCCTCTCCTCGCCTCCCAAGAGATTCCAGAAAGCTGGATAAAACCGCTAATCTGGTCCCAGGGCACCTGCTCTTCGGCCTGCAGAGAATTTGCCCTTTCTCATCTCTGCCCTCCCCCACCAGGCCTGGGGCAGGAAGGGACTGAGCTTGGCCAAGGCTCAGAGCCCCTCCCATGCCAGGGGAGCCTATTCTTCCCATCTTCCCCTTCAGAGGCTTTGGGCCTGGAGGTATCTGGCTCAGGGGAAAGATAAGAGGCGGGGCCAAGCATGAAAGCAAGGTAAACTAGAGATTAATGGGAACAAGAAAGAGCCCCGGTCAAGGGCCTGGAGAGAATGAGATGCTGGAAGCTCCGGAATCGTAGCCCCATTCCCAAAGGGGTGGGTCTCCCAGGACCACCCTAGTTCACATGCAGAGAGAGCAGGACTCAGGGCAGCGCCAGCGTAGGTTCCTGGTCTGCGCCCTGTTCTGAGTCCCCCAGGATATCGGGAACATCCACCCCGCATTCTCCCCACCCTGGCAGACCAGGCAGCCCAGCCGGAATCCTTCTCCAATCCACAGTCACTGCCTGCCCTCTAGGCTTGCCGCATCTGCTCTGGGTGGGAAACCTTCTTAACTTTTCCCATTGCAGCTGCCCTTCCTCATGCCCACCCCTTCCTCGCTTCTGGGTCTGTCCTGACCTTCAGACTCTGATGGGTCACACAGCTGAGGCTTCAGGGGGTGAAAAACGTGGCTTCTGGCGGAGGGCATGGGTGAGACTTATCACAGGTGACTCGTGAAGGTCGGTGCTCAGTCACTCTTGACACCTGCTTCTCAGCCTCAGGCTGAACCCCGGAGCCCCAGGAGTTGGCTGTGTGAGCGCCCAGAGGAGCAGGAAGCTGCAGAGCAGAGGGGGCCTGGCGGGGGGGATGTCAGGGAGGTGGCCTCAGCCCTCTGCAGCACATCTCTCCCATCTGCCCAAGTGGAAGGCTCTGTGGGCTGCAATGAACACCAGACCTGGTCCAAACAGATCATCTGGAAAAGTACTTACTTTGGCTTCAGAACTTGTCACAGGCCGTTCTGGCAGAGTGTTTTCCAAAGAGTGTGGAGTGGGACCAGAAACTCAAAATTGCTGTGAAGGCCACTATTGTGAGAATTCCCAGGTATATGTTTTTGATATAGTCTGCTCCCAGATCCTTTGATAAGATCACCACCCCAGGCTGTCCCTGGGTCACCCTCCCTAACCCAGCACTCACCTGTTCAGAATTTCTGGATGGATCGTGGATCCAGATTTCAATTCCCAGTTCTATGTGTGGCCTCCTCAGTGCCCTTCTGAGTTGAAGGTGGCCACGAGGGACAGCTGGGGTCACTAAGTCCACTCTGCACCAGGCAGGTGCTCAGAGTGTATTTGTTGAGTTGAAGGAAAGATTATAAATTCATCATGGTTCATCCCAGTGTCTAGACCAGTGTTGTCCAATAGAATAAAGTGCGTGGTCCATAGAGGCAAGCTACATATGTATCTTTAAGTTTTCTAGTAACCTCATTAAAAAAAAGAAACAGGTAAAGTTAATATTAATACAACTTATCAAATCAAATATACCCCAAATATTCTCATTTCAACATGTAATCAACATAAAATGATCATTGAAAATGAAATGGGGTTTGTTTGTCTTTGGTACTAAGTTTTAGAAATCAGGAGTATATTTTGGACTGAGAGTGCACGTCAATCTGGACTAGCCACATTTCAAGAGCCACATGTGGCCAGTGGCTACCATATTGGACGGCTCAGGTCTAGACAAGAAGTGCTAAATTGCGCTATCTCAGTCCAGGAAACTCTGAAAGAAGGCAAGGCCAGAAGAGAGGAAATGAACGAGGGCAGGAGAGACCAGGATGGGCTGCAGAGGACAAGACCTCCTTCAAGCTCAGAGGGTATCTGCCTGTGCCTTCCTAGGAGGTGAGGGAGGAGCTAGGATGACCTTGGCGGGACTGGGCGATTTTAACTTGATCTAGCATGAGAGAGCTAGATGCGTCCTGCCCTGAAAGTGGCTCTGGCCCCGGGATGTGCTGCGGATAAAGTGCAATTTCTATCACGCTTTTCAGAAGGGCAGCGGAGGCCCAGCGGCAGCCCGGTCCTGAGGCTCGGTGCCCAGGAAGCCTCTTGCCAAAAGCACTTTGCAGGTGGGCGGCCGG